AAAATGTATATATAATTATATATATATATATATATATAGGATATATATGCGTGTATATAGTATATATTTAAATGTATGTTTGCGTGTATGTATATGATATTAATAACAAAACTTCAAAGGATATAAAGAGAAAAAAAAATGACACAGAGTGATTCCTTGTTTAATCGATTAATCAGCCATATGGTTGGTGGTGAGGTGACCTTTGAACTTCATTTAATAAAATATATAATATTTTTTTTTTTGAATTTTTTTTTATTTATTTTTTTTGTCTTAAAGTTTTTTTTTGTGATGCAATTCTAAGAATGATAAATGCGCTTTGGCTTTTATTAATTTTAATTATGCTTGTTTTTTTTTATTATAATATTATTAAGCAATTTTTTTATAAATAAATTAACCGTATTATTATTTCGCGTATTATAAAATTTAAATTATAAAATATAAAGAGATTTTTATATTTTATAATTAATTATATAAGTATGTGCTTTATATTCAATTAAGAGCCAGCAATAATAACATATAAGAATTTTCATATAAAAATTGTTTGTTTGTAGAAAAGTTTTTTACCACACAATAAATTTTATAATTTTAAAAAGATTTTTTTAACACATTAATTACCAGACGAGTTCTTTTGAAGAAAAATGTAATTATTTTATAAAATTCTTTTTAAAACTGCCCTATATTAAAATACATATTTACCATTTTCTAAAATATAAAAATTACAGAGAATTAGAGAGAAATATTACAAAATAATTTTTAAATCAATTCGAATTGGAGTAACCAGAGAAATAAATCCAAAGATGTCTGTAAAAAATTTGTTATAATAATCTTAAAAGAGCTAAGATTCTTATATCAATTTAACAATTGATTATGATTAACCCTTTCAGGATTTCAGTTATATTTTAAGGCAAAAACCAAAATCTTTACTTCATATTCATATTGTTCAACGCTCCATCTTCATCAAGAATGAAGATGGAGCGTTGACTTCTTTTTAATGAAAATAAGTTTTGTTTCCAAGTGTGACACTTAAAATAACAAAACTAATTCTGGCGATATTGTTAAATGTATTGTCTATAATGGATAACCCATATATCCTAACCAAATTTTCATCAACATAGTTATACTTAATATAGTTGAATTGTTTCCTATAATTAAATATAATTAATAATTTGTTAGAACTAATTTAAGTAGTACAGAAATAATTATTCTTAGATACAAATAGACATAGACTTGCCTTAAAACCACAGATTTATAAACATAAATACAAACATAAAATTCATTTAATAACAAAGTTTCCAAACAAATTCCAAATATAAAAATACTAATTAATTAAATGAAACCTAATAAGTTTTACATCTTCGAATGTTCTAAACACAGCCATTATTTAATATTATTCCTACCATTTTCAAAATATTTTTTCTCACTGCGAGAAATAATGATTTAATTGGAAATATACTGTCTAATATTTTTTATAAAATTTTCAAATTTTTATTAAGCACAAATGACTTGTCTTAATAACGCCGCTATTTCATATACATCAGCATATATATATATATATATATAATATAATTAAATACTTATGCTTTGTTTTTTTTTTCTCTTCAAAACATAAGCCTAACTATTAAATACATAAAAGTGTTAAACTAAATATATTCATGCTGTTATATTTATATATATATTTATTTGAGTATTATATAGAGAACCAGGATAGAACTATAAAAAAAAAAACTGAAATGGTTGTAATTCAATTGAAAATATTTCATATTGACAATTTTAATTGTAGGTTTTTGACTCCTTTTATTTTTACTCATTCATTCCTGTATATTACACATATACCCATATAACTGATATATAGCTACTTGTATACATGTATTTTCATTTCTAAATATTTCCTGTTGTGTTTTTAACTACATATTAAAGTTATTTCATTTCCTTGACTTCATAGTTTTATTTTTATATCAGACTTTCTTTTTCAATTCCCCTGCATATTCTTTTAAATTGTTATGTTGATTTAAACAATTTTTTTTTGCTTTCTATATGTATAATAATTTGGAACCCATTCCCTTTATAGATCATTAATATTGTCATTGACAAAAATCAATTTCATTATTGATTTTTATGCTTTAAATTCAAAATAATTTTTTTTGTTTGAATATTAAAATTTTTTTAATATTTATAAGTATTTTTAAGGTTTATACAGTGCCTACATACTTATAGTATGCATATTTTAATTTAATCATCTATATACCTCAGTACCTACAAATATTTTCTAATTATTGGTATTCTAAATATTCGTTCATATTTATATGGTAGATTTCCATATGGTTATTCAAATTATCCTTTAATTTATGCACACTTACAATTCCTTCTATATAATATATTGACATTGTTTGATAACTAAGTATATATATACTCTATAATTAAGTATATATACTCTAAGTATATACAGTCTATAAGTACTCATAGATTTTCAATTAATTGCATTCATGTTGCTACCATTTTAATATTATTTCATATATGTATTTAAAATTTATTCTGGACACGATTTTTAGATTTTATAAATTTATAATTTTATTTTGTATATTTATTATTCAAAATATATATACATACTAAATTCAATATAACAGTCTACAAATTGTTAAAAAAATCAAAATCAAAATATTAAATATTTTTACATTTTGATTGATAGTTTAGATATAATTATTATACTGAAAAAAATTCTATATCACATTCACAATATTATTACTTATTAAGATATTATAACTATATGTTCATATATTTGTATAACAGAATTATAAAATTTTATGCATAATTTCCTCATAATGATATTTTATATAATACATATTTGTAAATCTTATTTATTTATTTATTTATACGTCAAAGTCTATGCATAGGTATGAAACTAAATATGCATAATCACATACGAATTTACAAACATATGCATATCTATGTTTGTACATATTATAGGATAATGAAGGGGAATGTATTTTGTATCACATATTATGTATAAATTTTTTTGTCTAGGTAGCAGAAAAAAATATTTATTCATTTAACGATTTCAATTTTGTAACTAAGTTGGTACTTGCATACATACATACTAAATATGCAATGTTTTCCATTTTATTTCTTTAAAAATTATTATAATTATTTGTTAATGAATTGAATTTTAAAATAATTACTTAAATATTCTATTATATTGTATTTGATTATTTGTATGACATTTAAATGAATGTCAAAGATACCAAACAAGCTTTGTTGGCAAGGGGAATCACGCAAGTAGCAACCATTGATGCAAAAGACGTCATATAAACACAGCTTATTATCCATACCAGATCAGTTATTTAATTTTGTAAATAGAAATTATGTATAAAGCACTCTTTACCCTCCATATAAATATTTTTGAGAAATTATCGATATACACTATCATTATGTAAATTATATACACTATATTATTCATTTAAATAATTCAAATAGCAACTTAAAATATTTATACTTAATTAGTATATATTATTTTCATGAAAGTGTTTTCTATAGTACAAACACTAGTAAAAATATTAATCACCCATAGTTACGTACAAATTATGTACATAATAAATCACCCTTCATATTATAAATTTTATATTTCGAAAAACAAACTTTATATATATATATATACATAGGTATGTAAATTGTCAAATTCACGTTTTTCTAACCTAAAATAAAATATTAAACAGAAAACCAAATTCTAATAATCACATCGTACATAATTCGTATCGTATACGAATAATAAAAACACGAAAAAAAACAAGTGCAATATAATCACTTTACTTAATTATTTAAGTTATAATTAGTTTATATTTATGTACATACATAACAGAGCATAATTATATGAATATATTAAAATATAAATCAGAAATAATAATAATATATATATAAAATTATATTTGTATATACTGTTATATTTTTATTGTTATTTCAAAAATGGTATAAAAATTATTCAAGTTCTTTCAATATACTTACATTATATTTTATGTAAGCACATTTTATAATAATAATTTTTTTCTAAAATCGCTATATAGAAACAAACACACATATTAACAATTATACATATAGATATGTGTATATGACTTGCCAAATTTCTATTAAAGAAATAAACAAAATATATAATAAAATCAAAATATAACAAAATTAAATCCCGTGTACACTACAATTTTTTTTTTTTTTGTTAATTGAAATTTATGCACAAATATCTACTTAAAAATTAAACAAGAGACAAGAGAGCAAGTGCAATCAAAAAAAAAAAAATTTGTTTAATAGCAAAGTATATAACAATATATACATATATAAATATACTGTTATATATAGGTATATTATGTAGGTAAATGGTAAATATATATGTAGATATATAAAATATAATAAATAAAACAAAATACCAGAAAAATAAAAAAAAAACAGAACAAGAATCAAATTCTCAAATTTATATTTATAGTCGAAATTTTTATTTTCAAACAAATTGAAAAAAATTTTTATAGTAAATTCACAATTTTAATGAAAATTTTGTTGAAACATTTTTCCTTTTCTTATACACATACATACTTATTTTGTTTTGAAAATCTTTGCTGATTGCAAATTTTTTGATTCTTTTGCTTTTTTTTTATTTTGCAACATTTTTCAAATAGAATTGCGGGAAATTTTTTGTAATTTACAAATTTTTTTTTCCCACAATTTTTGCTTTGCTTTTTTAATAATTATTTAATCATTTTAGTTGATTGTTAATTAGAATATTTATTAGGTATGTAGATATATGTAGGTAGATATACTTTAATATTTATATTTTATATATAATATACAAGTATGGCTTACGTATTTAGGTGTATAAAAAATATTAATTTATAAATCACAAAGTGTATAACTATAGGTAGAAGGAAAAACAATTATTACAATAAATTATTAAAACCCCTTGTTAAAGGGAGGGAGTGTTGGTTTAAAGAAATATAGGAGGGCGATATACAAATCAATTTTACCTAGTTTTTCTGTTTTTGTTGATGAAAAATTTCTTCCAGTTTTTGTTTTTGTTTTTTTCTTTGATGAAAATTCTTATTTTTATTCCTTGATTTGAATTTTATTCCTGAGATTTTTCTAAGTATTTTTTTTGTGTTTTTCTTTTCTTTTCTTCTATTATGTATAAATTTATTATTCCTCTGGCGATATACGGAAATTATGTTGAAAAGAACCACAAAAAAAAATAATATTTTGAAAACACTTCACTTTTAAAATGCTTTCTTTTATATTTTCATAATATTTTCTATTATAAATTTTCTATTTAATTTTTTCTACGGCAAAATTAAAAAATAATAAAAATATATAAAATTACACTTTTTCTTTCTTTATTTTAACTATTTTTTTTTCTCTCTCAGTTAATTTACACAATAAATTATATTGCACAAAATTTTACAAAAAAAAAAAAATACTTCCAACTTATTATTTTTCCTTTTTTTTTCTATTTTGTTAAAAAAGTACATTTATAATATCACAGTGAAAATAAGACTCAAGAAAATATATTTTTTTTTATTATTTATTATTATTTTAATTTTTTCTATTATTTACTTAATATTTTTGGTTTAATTTTTACTTTATATATTTTAATTAGAAAATAAAATAATAAAAAAGATTCTCTATATAATATTAATTTTTTTCTAAACTTTTTTTTTTCTTCGATTCTACTCTAACAAAAAAAAAATCTTCTTTTTCTTTTTCAGAAATGGAGCAGACAGACTTTCTGACGCTGTCAGAATTCACATATGTCAAAAGAAAACTCAAAATAATATTATATCAAGTGAAGTTTTTAAATGAGAAAGAAAACAAAAAAAAAAAAAAAAATGGGAAGTAAAAAGAAAATTCATTTTTGACATTTTCATTAATTGACAAAACTGCTATATTGTAATATCTAATTTTTATGTAGCGTTCAGAAAATATTTTTCTTTTATAAAAAGAGAATATGAACTATTAGCGACATCTGATTTTTAATAGAAGAAAATTAATAAAATATTTGATATTGAATAAAAATGCGATATTGATAAAATTTATAAATTACAAGTGACACGTTTTAATTATATTTATGCATTTAATTTCTTTTTTAAATAAACTAAAATTTGGAAAATAATGATAGACACACACGGTCTTTGATCATTGGGAATATTTAATTATTTAAATATTTTTTTTTTTATTCCTACTTCGCTCCTTGAAGGAACATAGGGCTTGTCCACGATATTATAGATAACAATGAACCAGTTTCTTACGACATTGAGTTTACTACTAGGTAAATTTCAATTACGAGCCTACCGTAATTGAAATATTAATAAAAAACTAAAATTTTTGCATTATAACCATTGATTTCACACACAATTTAGTTTTAAGTTTTGTAACAAATTAACCGGATTACATTTTAATTTAGTTATATTATTAAAAAAATAAAAAACTTTGTCTCAGGAACCTGGTTTTTTTTCTACAAAATTATTATTATGCAATTAATTGTTTGGCAAATTGTGTTAATTTTAGCATACATAACTATATATTTTGACGTTTTCAAAAAATAACTCCATTATTTTTTTATCTAATTATTTTAAGATTAGTCTCGTGTTTATAATAATACTACGAACAGTATTGCATACAATATGGCACAGTTATGTGATTGCATGTCGATATTTCGTCTGAAAGCTTAAATATACCATTTATCAGACTCATTTTTTTTAAATACCATTTATCAGAAGCTTAAATATATACTATTTTTAGAAAGATGTCCTTAAAGAATGAACTTAAAGTTTCGTAAATTTAAGTTTTCATATCTTACCTCTTCCGTATGATGCTTAACAAGATTAATATAAAATTAATTTTAATCCAAAATTTTCAATATTTATAGTTTATATAATTAATTTTTTTGTTTAAAAATTTTAAAAATCCATCATCTGCATTTGACGCTTGCGAATTACGAAATTTTTAATTATAGCAATCATGCTACGCAATTATGTTGACAAATGCGAATATGTTGAAAAAACTTGCACACAGGTATATATTTTAATATGTACTCGTATAAACAGGGTGAACACATCTATTAAAAATTATTTTAATTATATTTGGCGTTAGATTATTATAATTATTCTTATATTATAATTATAATTATATGCTTGAAGTACATGTTTATTTTATTAATATAGAAAAGTAATATATTCAAAATAATACAAAATTTTCTCTTGTAAGACATTTTTGTTTAAAAAAGGTAACAATTTATTATAAGAGAAAATATTTTTATGAAAACCGCTTGCCACAACAAAATATTTTTTCATTAATTTGGTGTAAAATTCACTTAGATTTTGAATTTCATTTAATCATTCGAAACAATTTATTAATTTTATAAAAAAAAATATTGAATATAATTAATTATATTGAACAGATTCTAAATTATTCCGCCTATTGCAAATTATACTTATATTTTAAACTGTAATTTGAATCGTGAAAACGTATTTGTTAATTTTAAAAATATAATTCCTATAAAATCAAGTAAATCATTTAACACCAGTATTCAATTTAATAAAAACGAAGATTCATCAAAAATTTCAATAAAATTCATTTAAGTTCAATAATTTTTTATTTTATATTATGTAGCGTTAAGTTACTTACTGAGTGAATACTTTTAATGTTAGATATCGTATTTTTAATTTGTCAGCGAAAATATAATTTTAAATTTGATTGAAATTTAATATATCTGTTTTGAATTTGGAATTAATTATGTATACTTTTTAATGATAAATTAACGTTCATGTCATATACGTGCCGGATTATTTTTTTTTTTTTAAAATTACAAAATTGTACGGTCAAAAAATTTTCTACAATTAACTTTATTTAATTAATCATTTTCTGGAACGTCACATTGTAATATATGTACATAAATTCATCCTATAAATATGTTACTTAAAATATTTTCTGGAATGCTTCAAATCATTCACTTACGATTTTATTATAAGTTTTTTATTGTTATTATGGTCTTTACTGCTAGAAATACGAAATACTGAACTCAGTTGTTTTTCAATTTTGTGCGGAAAATATTTTACGTACTGCCGGTCTAGACTTAATACGTCTATTTTCAATGTATTTATGCTCAGATTGATACAGTACATACCATACAAAGGTAAACTCTAAATTTTTTAATGGGAAATTAAATGGGCATTCCGCTAATTCAAATCTCTCATTCGATAATTTGAGAAAAAATGCAAAAACCCAATTAAAAAAATGAGTAATCTTATTGGAAAAGTGAAGCATTCTTCAGAAAATACTGAGAATTCTGATTTGAAAATGAAAAAAAAGGAAATAAATAAGAAAGTGAGATACACGCGATCAGGCTGTTAAATACGCTAGTTATAATGAATTAAAAATTTTTTTTTTGAGTCAGAAATGTTTTACGACAACTGATTAATTATATATACCTGTCAATTACGACAACTCAAAATCCAACTCTCGGTTTCAGAGAATATTGTTGATTAGTTACACCTTTATAAATAGAAATAATAGCAAACATATGTATATGTATATTTATTTATTGAAATCCAGTCTCATTTTAGCTTAGACCTCGTAACAATTTTATAAATAAATCATTAGTGTTAAAAAAACAATTCAATCTGTTTTTTCAACACAAAAAAATAATAAAATTAAATAATCTAATTAGCAAGTAGGAAACGAAAATAAAATTCAAGTGCTATAAAATAAGAAAAAATAAAAACTTTAAAAGCGAAAGGCAGATTTCTATGATTCTACATGATTTTATCCAATTCTTATCAAATTTCTTTGACAGAAATAAAAAAATAGAATGGTGAGAATAAATTTTTCTCGTTATAAGCGCTGTGATCAGCTGTTTTTTATGATCAGCTGCTTGTTGTGATCAACAAAGATTAGTATTGTAAAATTTATATTTTATAGTTGATTAAATTATTTTTTATAAAGTTTTCGAAAATTTAAATAAATAATCAAATTAATTTTAAATTATTTATTTTTCAAATACTTTCGCTATCACTCACACTTTAACATAAACCTAGATATACCGCGCAATGAATTAAAAAACAATACCTATATAATTTGACAGCGTATTTGATCAAATAAAATTTGATGTGTAAACAGATGTTCTCATCCAATTTCTTAGTTGTGAAATTTAATCTTAAAATTTTGCTTGATGTGTATATTCTACCTTAAGTTTATTTTTAAAGCTTGCTGCTGGTAAATTTTTTAAATCATCTAGTATTATCTGTTAAAAAATTTCTACAACCTAAGTTATAAACTGTTTTCGCTGACAACTGGCTTAAGTTCATGCTGAAATTGATATGTGAACTCATATGATTGGCAAATGTAGTGTTATAACGATTTAGATATGTGTTGATTTTTTACTATTACCAACAGTGTTCCCACTTGGGAATTACTTCTAATAAAGTAGAATTAATATAGTAAATCGCTTCATTTTGTGCAAAATTTACTCATAGTTAATATTAATTTGATTTATTCAACAATTTAAGTTTTTTTATTTGTAATAAATTCTTTAAGTAATGACATGCAACTTCTATTACATTTTAAATGTAAAAGTTGAGGTAGAAAATACATATGTAAATGTCCTGCAGCTGTTGAACTATGCGGTAAGGACAATATTCACCATGAAAACGAAAAAAATTTTAAAAAATTATGTAGAGCTAATGAATTTTCTATTACAACTAGCCTGTACTAAAATAAATAAATTCTAATTAATTCAGAAATCTTCCTAGAAAAGCCAACAAATAACATTTTTTGAGTATAAAGCAATTTCGTGATTTAAAATTAACAGCATTTTAAGAGTTTTGTAATATTTATTTAATGTTCGAGAAATAAATATATCCACATTTCAGCAAAAATTTTCAAATGTAGCCAATTTCAGTATTATTGCAGATTTGATTATCTTTGTATCCAAGCTAAATTTAAAGCAAAAACAGTATCCAAATAGATACAATTGTATCCAAGTGGGAACGTTGATTATCAAGTCAAGCGAAACGAATTAACATTTAGGATTTTATGAATTTGTAGGATGGACTGCATTATGTCCCTGCATAATCCTTTATTTTCAAAATATTGTATTTATTGTGGAATAATATAATGTGTAATTAAAAATTTACCTATATGCCATATATGATATATTACCCTATTATATTATGTACATATCGTTTATAGCATATTCCCATTTTATGATATGAAATCATAATTTTTGTAGTTATAAATTGCATTCAATAATTCAAAAAATTAAAAATATTTTTTTATCATAAAAACAAATTAAATTTATATCATATAAAATACTACATGGTATTTTTCATTATTTTTACAAAAATTACATATACATACAAACATACACATATTATGTACATTAAAAAA